TTTTAATTTGCATTTCACGAATGGCTAGTGACGTGGAGCATTTTTTCATATATTTATTCGCTTCTTTAATTTCTTCCTCTGAGAAGTGTGTGTTCATCTCGGATGCCCATTTCTGCAATTGGGTCTTTAAATTTTGGGGCCCTAGTTTTTTTAGTTCTTTATAAATTCTAGAGAGCAGACCTTTGTCTGAGTACATATTTGTCAAGATTTTTGTGGAATTTGTGTGTTTTCTTTTCACTTTGTTGGTAATTTCTTTTGACGTGCAAAAACTTCTCAATAAGAGGAGGTCCCGGTTGTTAATTCTTTCAAGTGATTCCTGTGCCATTTGATTTCTGTCCATGAACTCTTTGCCTACCCTTATGTCTTCAAGAGTTCCACCTACTTTCTCTTCCAGGAGATATAATGCTTCTGTTTTAATGTTTAGATCTTTAATCCATTTTGACTTTAGCTTAGTGCATGGTGATAGACCTGGGGCAAGTTTTAGTTTTCGGCATGTAGAAAGCCAGTTTTTCAGCAACATTTGTTAAAGAGGCTATCTTTCTTCCAGTGACTTGTTTGGCCCGTTTGTCGAAATAAGGTGGCTGAGTGTGTTCGTAAGGCTTCAGCATCTTCTAATCTATTCCATTGATCCTCAGGTCTATTTCATTGCTAGTACCATGCTGATTTTATCACAGTAGCCTTGTAGTATAATTTCAAGTCAGGAATTATAATGTCTTCTGCCTTGTCTTTGTTGGCCAGGATTGTCTTTGTTTCCAAATAAATTTTAGGAATGATTTTGCTCGGTCTATGTGGTATGTTGGTGGTAGTTTGATAGGGATTGCATTAAATCTGTACAGCAATTTTGGGAGTATGGCCGTTTTCACAGTGTTGGTTCTTCTTATTCAGGAGCATGGAATATCTTTCCATTTTCTGAAATCCTCTATGATCTCTTTTTTTAAGAGTACTGTAATTTTCCTCGAAAAGTTCGTTGACTTGTTTAGTTAGATGAATTCCAAGGTACATCATTTTCCTCGCTGCTACTGTAAAAGGTATTGTTTCTCTAATTTCCCTCTCAGTGTGTTTGTTATCTTTGTAGAGGAATGCTGTTGACTTTTGGTCATTGACTTTATCTTGCTATGCTACTGAATTTGTGTACTCTAGTAGCTTCTTGGTGGAGTATTTGGGATCTTCCAAGTAATGTATCATGTCACCTGCAAATAATGATAATTTAACTTCTTCTTTAGCTATTCTTATTCCTTTTATTTCAAATTTAATTTAGTCCATGATGAAAGCTATGGATCCAATTTTAATTTCTGAATTTTTTTTTTCTTTTTTTTTTTTTTGTATTTTAGGGAAGGATCTACAGAGTGTTCAGGTTGCACTTGTAGTGATCCGCCTGTTTACAGCCACCCAAGTGCTGGGTTTACAGGCACACACCACCATGCCCAAGCTCAGTTGCTGTCTCAGTGTGCCCCGGGGTCCGGGCCAGCACAGCAGGCCCGGACATCGAACCCTGGGCCCCTGGGCCTGGTTGCAGGCACTTTAATCTGCTAAGCTATTTGGCCGGCCCTCAATTTTAATTTTTAACATGTGCAGAGCCTTTGGTACCCAAGGTGTCTTCTAGGTATAATTGATTTATTTCTAATTGTATTTCTTAGGATGTATATTTTTAAAAGCAATTCTTTTAAAACAATCAGATATGTGGTATGTAAAATTTTGTTAGCTACTTATAAATAATTTCTTCTGGTTCTTTTCTACAGGTTAGACCTTCTGAACCATTACTGAGTGATCATTGTTCTTGTTCATGCATGAAAGAATTATGGGTTCTACTTACACATATTCTAGGCCACCGACATAAATGGTCTCTCTCAGAAGTAAGTTGAAAAACTGATTTTTAGTGATAGTTAACTGACTCTTAGATTTATTCAGTAGCTTGTCCAAGAATATCGTCTGACTATAAGTCTCACTTTCTACAAAAGGTTAAAATTGCTTTTGTATACTGTTTTTGTAACCCAGAACTTGATCAGGTTTATAATCTGAGTTCATATTACCTGTATTTTATTTGAAAATTGAAGCCATTGACTTCTAAGTAGCCAGAGATAATGATTGGATATCTAAACTCATGTTCTAACCACCTCAGGAAATATAGAAAAAGAACAAAACTTCACCAGATATGTTGATTACATAACTAGAAAATAGGACTATTCAAGCTGTAAATTTCAAAAAGTAAAAATTACTGAAGCTTCTACCACATCCGTTTCTAAACAAGCAGGAATCTTCTGACATAACTCAGGAGAGAAGAGGGCTGACTATGATCATAAAATTGGCCTAAAACAACTGCCAGGATAGGAAAATATTCAGTATATTTTGTAGCAGATCTATAAACTATAGAAACAGAATAAATGATTATCATGAAGCGAAGAGAAAGTATTTGAAGAGAGGGGTTTGAAGGGAGAAAAGGCAGATAGGAAGTCATGGTAGCATTTGGTGACTGAGGTGATGGGATTAAGAAGCCAAAATTTATTTATTTATTCATTTAATTTTTTTTGTATCTAGTTCAGGGTCTACAGGGTCTCACTACACAGATCGGACTCTTAGTGATCCTCCTCTTTAGCTTCCCAAGTGCTGGGATTACAAGTGGGAGCCACCACACCCAGTCTGAATCACCATCTCAGCATGGGGGCAGGGCCTACACGGCCAGCCCAGGGATCCAACTCCCAGCCCCTGCGTCTGCCTAAGCAGGCGCTTTAATCTGCTGAGCTATTTAGCCCAAGAAGCCAAACTTTAGGTTTAAAGAAGATACAGGTTCCTGTGATGAATATGATTATTAATGTGTACCTAAAATATACCAATAAACTTAATTAATTAAAAAATTTAGGTTCTGGCCAGGTGCGGTGGTATATGTCTGTAATCCTAGTACTTGTGAGGCTAAGGAAGGAGGATCATTGTGTGAGACCAGCCTGGTCTACAAAGTGAGCTCAAAGCCATCCTGAACTGCACAGTGAGACCTTGTCTCAAGAAAGACTAAAAAACAAAAAGAATCCCAAAGAGTTTACTAACCCACCACTACCACCATATAAAGAGAAGAAAAAGAAAATCTAGAAAAAGAACAGTCTTTTGGGACCTTACAAAAGAGAGTGCCCCTGAACCAGGAATCCTTTTAACTAGTGTAAATTTACAAATGTAATGAGTGAAACTAAATAAGCTTGTACAAAATAACTGGAAGAAAACTAAGAGCAAAATTACTCCAGCTGGTGAAACCCTCTTCCCCAGAAAGTTCGAAGGCAGATGAAGATTTAAGTAGGATAGCCTTATAGAGCTAGAAAACCTGGTAGATATCACCATAATGAAGTAATAAAAGTTTAACCAGTAAATGATAAATTGGTGTATATCCCCAGTATAATGCATTGAAAGAACAAAAATATTTCTGCTATTTTTTTGACAAAAATATTAGTAGTCAGATAAGAATAATGACTGGCATATGCTCTTAAAAAGTGCCAAGTTTGTAAGTGATAAAATCTGTGAAGTTGTTACAGATTAACATTAAAGGAAGCATATAGTCGCTGAATGCGGTTTATAATAGCCTCATGATGCAGGAGGGAGATTTTGATAATGCTTGGTATGTGCATTATAGTACAGAGACAAAGATGGAAAATACCAGAGTAGCTAAGTGGCATGGAGAGGGCATGAAAAAAGTTGTGAAGCTTAGGGAAGGTATTTGATGAATGCACATCTGCTTGTAATTCGAATGGGGACAGGAGTGAAACAGTAAACATTTAAAGAAAAAAAGAAAGTAAAAGCTATCTGATCGGATCAAGAAATGCAGTGGACCACTTAAGGTTTATAAAAGAAGAATGCAATCAGATGCATCATGATGGAATTATAAAATGTTAAAGATAAAGTCAATTCATCAAGTAGAAAAAAACTATTGAGTGAAAATGAGAAGGGCAGCTGACTTCTCAGCAGCATTGGAGACCAAGGGAGTGCTGTCTCCATTTTATTAAAACTAAAATATTTGTCAACCTAAAATTCTTCATTCATCAGCCTTTCAAGAAGGAGATTCTCAGAGGTTGTATTCCTACAGCACCTGTGAATTGAGAAAAACCATGAATTTCAGATATAGTCAGAGAAACGCTTATAAGTACCTATTTAGATTAAAACCTAAATATACTATGTCTCCTGCAGTTATGGAATTTAATAAAATATTGTATTATAAAAGGCTTAGAAGGTTCAGGACTTTTTGGCGACGTCTTAGGGATCTTAGAGCTTTTAGAAGAATAAAACAGAACATTAGTGGTGTAGCAGTCTGTTACCACGTGGGAATGCCAGTGCATCTGCCAGAGATGGTTTACAAGACAGGAGCCAGTCAGCAACAAGAAGAACTGAGTAACACTCTCTGGCTTCTTGCATACTTCCCACGAAAAAACAATTGTGAAGGATATTTGTGGTTTCCTCAATATAGTAGGTGTTTCTGGGAACCATTATTAGTTAGGTTCTAAGGAAAAAAATCCTAGGGCTTTAGAGGTAGCTCAGTGATCTTGCCCTGCTTGGGGCAAGCACAATGACCCAGGTATTCCATCCCCAGTGCCACATGCCTTGCCTGCCCTGATCAGTGCACGCCCAACTGGCCACAAAGACCTGGTGTGATGGCACATGCTTGTAATCCCAGCACTGGGGAGGCTGAAACAGGAGGATCACTATGAGTCTGAGCTGTGTAGTGAGACCCTGTACCAAATAAGGAAAAATCCTGGATGACTAAGACCAGGAACTCTGAACTGTGGCTTTGTGGAATGTACTGTACTGTTATTTCTAAGGTCATCAGCACTAAAAGAAGAGGAGGCGACTCCATCAAGATGTTGGAGGGTAAAAATATTCAACTCGATGTTGATGGATACAATAGGTGTAGAAATAAAATTATAGCCTAAGACTGATTTAAAACTAAATTTAGTAGTCATTACCTTTTACTAAAAGCTGTATTTAAAGTATCTATTTACTAAAGAGATTTAAAACTAAATACATCAAGGTTCTTAATTGATAGAAAAATGTATACAAATGGTGATACATCAAACTGAAAAAATTAGGTTTTTAAAACAGTTGTAATTTTTTGATATCAATTCAGTTTATAATTTTTTATGTAGGAAGTTAGCATGTTAAATATAGAACATAAAAATTTATAGAATTTCAAAGAGAAATATACATATGAAGATTGAAATATAGTTCTAAATAATTTGTTGGTGAAAAACAATACAGATTACAAATTTTTTTGGAATACATGGTAACTATAAGTTAAATCCTATAGAGGGAAATTTGTAACTTTCATTGCAGATATTAGAGAAATAAAAAGATTAAAAATTAATGAATTCACCAAAAACTATTAAAAATAACCCCCATAGTAAACTTGAAGTAAAAGGAAGGAAATAAATGAAACAACAGTGAACATCAAAACAGTTAAGCCAGGTGTGGTGCCACATGCCTATAACCCCAGTACTTGGGAGCAGTACTGAGAGTTTGAGGCCAGCCTGGGCTATACAGTGAGTTCAGGGCCAACCTACACTATAAAGTGAGACTGTATCTCAGAAAGCAAAACAAAAAAACCCACCAAAAGCAACTAAAAGTTGGGTCATGAAAACAGTAGCCAGGTGTTGTGGTGCATGCCTGTAATCCCCGCACTTGAGAGGTAGAGGCAAGATTGCTGTGAGTTTGAGGCCAGCCCAGGATATGCAGTGAGTTCAAGGTCAGCCTCCATTAACTAGCAAGACCCTGTCTCAAAAAAACCCAAAGAAAATAAGGAAAGAATATTATAGATAAAAGGATCAATGTCTCTTGAGATAATTACAGAAGGAATTAATACTTAAGAAAACAATACTAAAAGTAAGGGTATGACTTCAGTTTCTGTAGACATTAAAAACTAAGAACTTGTCAACAATTTTATACCTAATAACTTTCATATTTACATGTAATACCCCCCTCAAAAAAAATTAGCAAAACTTTGCTAAAACACACTAAGTGTTCAAAGGCACTAGATTAAATGTTTTACTGTGTAGAAATTGACGTGTTTCATTGAACTGTGATAATCATGAATGAGTTCAAAAACATGATGTTGAGCAAAAAAACCCCAATTTATTAAATAACAGAAACAAACCACTTACTATAAGCATACATTAAAAAAAATAGGGCCAGGGAGATGGTTCAGTAGAATAAGTGCTTGCCTGGCAAGCACAAGGGTCTGAGTTCAATCCCCAGTTCCGCCAAAAAAAAGAAAAACATAAAAACATGTACATGAGTCTGAGCAGTATGTAATGTAGGCTTACAGGCTTTTGTAGTGCTGACAAACTTTTAAAACCAAAGGAGTGATTCATGATGAAAGTCAGGACAATTGTTACTATTAGATGGGAGAAGATGATGTTACTTTGGGAACATGTAGGATATATCTAACCTAGCAATTATGCTCTAATTCTTTTTTTTTTTTTTTTTTTTTTT